ACTTCCATGTTTCTTTTCCTGATGAACTGGACTCTTCCAGTTGGAGGAGGAGCTCAGGACCTTGATTGTTGCTGAGAATGGCTGCGGTTCATTTTGGGTGAACTCTGGTCCTCATCTTGAGCATTGCTTCCTGACTTCAGAAGGGAAGATGGTGCAGTGCTCAGCCTTGTTATGAGTGATAGGTTTTCAACTGGACTCATGCAGGATATTATGATCCAGGCCTAAAAATCCAGCAGGATTCTTTGGCCTTTAGTGTATGGACAGATGTGCTGCACTCTTCCTTTATTGTGATGTTCACCTTGCAAAACCCCAAGCCACAACACCTATGGTGAAAGAGAAGAACAGATTGAATGTTGTGGCAGATTGACAACTGCTGTTTAACTTGTAGTACCCTGAGGAATAAAATCAGCATGGTGCTGGGTGTTGGAGACCCACTGGAGGATTGGTGCCAAAAGCATAAAAACAAAGACTGGAAGGGAAGGTAGGTGTGCTATTGATAATCCTGGAGAAGCTTGTCACACTGGCTTTCCTGATATGAACTCATCTGTATTCATTATTAGTGGGACTCCAAATGTTGCTGTCACTGAGGATGGCTGTGGTTTTTTTTTTTTTTGCAGGGGGAAACTCTGGTTTTTATTTTAGGTGTTGCTTCCTGGCTGTAGTGCAGATCACTTAGCCTACTGGCACAGATCCTTCATTCTACTGGTGCAGATTTCCTATCTTCTACCACTGACCTTTGGGCATTTCCATGCAAATCCTTGATACAGACTTGCATGTGATATTGTTGTGGGCTCTAGACCTCCAGCTGGACTCATGGAGGAGATTGCCACAGGCGCTAGGTCTTCAGCTGAACTCATACAGGACATTGCCATGGAATCTGGTCCATCAGCAGGATTCTTTGAGTGTCTAGTGTGTGGACAGATCCTGTATTCTTTTGCATTGGACTCGTTAGGTGAATTTTATTAAATAATCCTATAAATTATGTGTGCTGTATTATTTCCTTTGTAAGGCCTTGCTATAACAAATGCTATTGCTGATAGGGTCTTTTGCCTTTGTTTCTTAATTTCAGAAGGAAGGCCTCTCTTATCTGAATTGGCTGATTAAGTCGAGGGAGATTTGGAGAGTTCAGACTATCTCTTCAGCATCACGGTCTGGAGTCAAAGGACCAGAGGTAAGCTGAAGTAAGTCATATTTGTGTGTGTGTGTGTGTGTGTGTGTGTGTGTGTGTGTGTGTGTGTATGCTGTAGTTTGGATATTGAATTTTCCTTAAGGACTCAGGTGTTGAAAGTGTGGCCTCTGTGGGACTATGAAAGGTGGACACTGGGGGTATGCCTTTAAAGGAACTATTGGTATACTGGTACACATTTCCCCTAATACTCCTCCATTGATAGAATTTTTTTTATGTCAAATATCTTTACTAGGAAGCCAGATTCTTGAAATGCTTGCCTCTTATCTAGACTGATTTTGCTGTTTCTCAGGAGTCCAGAGGGCCCGTGAGGGTAAATTAGATGTTGAGGTGATTTGTACCTCTGGAGAAGAATAGAATGGAAATCTTGGGTGAGAGAGCAATACTACAGAGTTCTCCAGGCTTAGAGGTGGCAAAAAGCAATGGATGCCAAGGAGAGGGCATAGACAGGTGGTATCAGAAATTGCTTTGGGTATGATCACATATTAACTTTTTTTTTTCGGAACCAGGGGTTGATCTCAGGCCCTTATGCTTGCCAGGGAAGTGCTTATTCCACTGAGCCATCTCCCTGGCCTGCACATTCACAATTTTGATAACAAATAATCCAGGACAAGAATCAGGCCCTATGTTGCATCCAATCTTCAGGGAAGTTATGTTCCTCCACTGTCTGTCAATAATCACCAGATGGTCCACTGAGACTAGAACAAAGGCCAGCTATGTCTGGAGTATATAGAGGTAGTAGCTGGGACCTGAAGCCAGTAGGCTTTTGGGAGATGCCCTCAAATGGTAGATAGTAGTTAGACTGGGAAAGGGTGATAGAGAGTGACAGTCCTTATACAAACCCTTTCTCCTTAGAGGTTTTGCTGGCTTGCTTCTGTTGTCACTTTAAGATCCCTTGAACAGTGATCAGAGTGTTGAATAAATGCTCCAGGATGTCACAGGACTATGGAGAGGTGGCTATGTGTGCAGGTATTGGGAACAGGTTTTCTTGGGTGTGTTGTGTGCCCTGCTGAGTGAGATGTAGCATAGGGGAAACAAGAATTTCCTCTCATGCTTTTGAGGGTGGAATGAGTTTTCCCCAATGTTCTGTCTCTAAATTGTACCTATTCTTTGAACTTAATTTTTTTCTTTTTACTCCACCTAGCATGTTTTCATGGGCAAAATGTCATATCTTCAATTTCCTTGTATGGAATCATAGATAATCATTGGTCTCACAGGTAGCAATGAAGATGACATGAGATAATCCAGGTAAAATTCTCAGTTTATCCTCTAATGGTCTATGTAACTGAATGGATATTAGTTTGCTTCCTTGTCTAACATTTCTTAATTTGTCATTCATTTATTCCTTTTCTCAAGAATTTATTGCATGCCTATGTGTCATGCACCATTCTGACATTATGGATAAATATTAATCATAAAATCAATTGGTTTTTTTTTCCTTTTCTTTTTAAAATTAATTTTATTGAGAAACAAAGCAATGAGACAGTTTCAAAACTGATTAATAGGAAAGCTTCAATAATTAATACATTGCATATTTTTGTCTTTGAAGTGGTTATTCATAGTACAAGATGCAGACATGATATCCCATCCAAAAACTATTCATACAAATCTTTCTTCTCATTGAATTAAGTGAAAGTAGCTGTATATCTATCCTAGCAATTTTGAATATACAGATACAAAATGGTCCTTCATTTGTATCCCCCTTTTTTGTTTAGTTGTCTCAGAGATGGGTATTCCATTGCCATTTAAATATTGCAGGTGTGTGAATTCAGCAAAATAATCCAATATATTCCAGTAGTCCACAATAGTAGTGGGTTATCTATAGGGCTGGCAATGTCAGAAGTTGTTGACTTGAGCCCTTTACAGCTCAGCATATTAATATGGCTTTAATCAATTAGTACAGTTATCAATCATATTAATAATATACTTGATAATAATACTGTATAGAGTATGATTAATAATTATATATTTTTCAACATGACATTTGGGGAAGTTAGGTGAAATATATATATATATATATATATATATATATATACAGTTTAAAAATAGTTTTATTTGTAATTATTTCAAAATGAAAATTTAAAAACCACTAAAGTTTCTTTGATAAGCAGTAACATATGTGTTTCTGTTTTTGCCAATGAATGATGCTGAATAATGACTGTAAATTGCTTGGATTTCCTTTGCAGGTTAGAGATTCAGAGAAAGAGGACTGGGGCAGAAGCCTTCAAATTCTGCAAGTTTCAAACTAAGCAAATTCTTCCTTTTCCTGTCTTCCTCCCTTTATTCCTTAAATTAATAACTGGAACTCTTTGTAATTAATTATGACCAATTAATCATTGTATCCTTGTCTGTCTACCCCCAAGATATCTCTGAAACACTACTATCTCTTTATTTCCACTGCTGTTGCTGTGTTTGAACTCATGGGTTCTTAGTGGGACCTGTGTTGGTGCTACATTTGGATCTGCCTTCAAAGTCTTATCTGTATTACTAAGCAAAAGAAACCAATCTGGGACATCTATATACTATACTATTCCAAACTATGTGGTATACTGGAAAACTCTGACAAGAATAAAGAGATGGGTAGTTTCTAGAGACTAAGGGAGGGAGGGATAAATAGAACCCACAGGTTTGTTTAGGCAGTGAAACTACTTTGTATGATATGGAGGTGGGCAAATTCATGTCATAATACATTTGTTAAAACCCACAGAATATATAACCCCAGGAATGAATCTAAATGTACTTTGGGTAATTGCGAAGTACTACTATGGATTCATTTATTGAAAGATAGGTACCACTTGTACATGGAACTGTGTGCTTTTTATGTGAGTTTTGTTTTGTTTTTGAGACAGAATGTCACTATGTAGATCAGGCTGGGCTTGAGATCACAATGTAGCCTAGGCTGGCCCCTAATTCATGGTGATCCTTGCACCTCAGTCTCTCAAGTGCTGGGATTCCAGGCATGCACCACCACACCTGTCTTTTCTGTGAGATTTTGTTCTGAATTGAAAGTGTCTGAAAAAACAAGGACCAAGAACAGGAGCATCTGGAGTTCCAGGGTGAAATTCGTCAAGTGCTCTAGTTCCACATCTCTTCCCCTACTCTACAGTCCCAGTGGTGACATTCCCTGTCATTCTCCTATTTTTCCTCTGGTTTTTGTTTGCTTATTTTCCTTATTTCTGATTATTCAGTCCAAGTCCACAAAACATCTGTTTCCTATAATGATGTTTCTATTAGCATTCAATTTCTTTTTTTTTTTTTTTTCCAAGTGAAAACCAAAGGTTTATTTCTGGCCCTCTTCCACACCTTTTAAAGGGTTGAATTTGACAGAAGTCCATGGGTACATTTTACAAACTTTGACAAACTGTTTTAAAACTGAAGTTAAAACCATTTTTCTTTGTGGGAGGTGGAAGGACGTACCTTTAAAACCTGTTATACAAAATTCCAGCTGCCTTTTTAGAAAAGTATGTTCCTTAGATTAAAATTATAAAATTAAGGTGCAAGAGTTTTAACAAAAATGAACTAAAGAGCTTTATTGACATCACAGTACATTCAAGAATAAGTTTAAGAACATTACAGCTGAAAGAGAATGGCATGTTTATAGTCTTATTATGCTCTATTTTTTGAAAAAAGTGTAATACAAAGAAATCCTATTAAGTAACTTGGAGCAGCATTTGGAAAAAGTACACCTATTTACAGATTAAAAAAAAAAAGATTCTGGTTTCACCTACAGCCACAATGTGCCTCTATAATGAGACAAGCCCTTAAAACTCATGGAATTTTTTAAAACATCATGGCATGCTTGCCACATCATTCCTCAGTGCTTACGACGGGGTGGGGTTGTCGATCTTGATCGGAACTTAGACTTGTGTTTGCGGCTTGCCTTCTTACCAGACCTTTGAGATTTCTCCATGGATCGCGATCGACTATGTTTAGGCTTCTTAGCCTTCTTTTCTTTGCTACTTCCTGGAGATTCAGAACTGCTCCTTCCACTAGAATCAGAGCCTGAATGCTTTTTACTATCTTTGGCAGTACTTTTCTTACTATCTTGTCTAGA